TGAGAGTTAAAGTAGGTGATGTTCACTACCTACTCTTGGCTGTAATCTGAGTGATGGAACTGCTGATATCCAGGTAAGAACTTGAGGGTAGGAGTACTAAACTGAGTAAATTTTTTTTTTATTTTTTTTAATTTGTGAGATTAGTAGGAGAGGAGGATAGTCTGAAATGGTAAATATGGGACATGTTATGATCGTAAAATTATTTGGGTGAAAAGAGAGCAATTACAGCAAGTTGTAGTCTCATGAGCGAAGGAGGTACAGTCAAATCTCACAGAAAAGATGCTCCATTCAGATGTGTGGGTGAGCGGCCGTGGTGGCAGTCACCAGCTTAATGAGGACAAATCTGAGATCTACTACTTGGCAGCTTTTACTCTAGAGCTGTGCAATATCATAGCCGTGTGTGGCTAGTTAAATTAAAGTTAGTTAAAATTAAATACAATTTGAAATTCAGTTCACATGAACCACATTTCAAGTGCTTAATAGCCGCATGCATAGGTGGCTGGTGAACTGGACAGTACAGGCATGGAGCACTGTCATCACTGCAGAAAAGCCTGTGGGACAGTGCCACTGCAGAATCTGGAAGGATGTATGTACACCTTTAGAGAAGGAAATAGCCAGTTTTTTACAGAGTCATGGAATCTGTATGTTTTTGTTCTATAAAATAGTGTATTATCTTGTAAAAGAAGAACTCGATATAAGAATGCTCAAGAGGTGGTTAATTTAGTGACTCCGCAGTATCTAAAGTGCATGTCTCTTATTTCTCGTCCCGCTGCCATTCTCCAAGTTGGGTTCATCCTGGGGTTGTTTCCCTCACGGTTCAACATGGCTGCAGCAGTTCCAGGCGGTAGTAAAAGATTCTCTACGCGGTCCATCTACTGCATTGGAATTTCTTTTCTTCAGAGAACTTTAGTTAGTGATTGTTTAACAGCGTACACGGTTTCCACTGTGGGTGAATACTGTGGGAAAATATTACTGCGGGTGATAACGAGAGAAAGCTGTTAGTTCAGTTAGTTGCTGTCTTTTGTACAAGTGGTTAGAATTTATGTTTCATGTGTTTAGCAATGCTCTGTCCCATGGATGTAGGTTATACCCGAGGCCTGACTGGTCATTACTTAAATTTCGGTGGTGAAGAGATACAAGCACTTTATTCTTCAGCAGTAAATAGCTGAAGAATAATCCATAAAAATCATTAAGTCTCAAGGCTGAGAGAGAACTGGTAGGGAGATAGCTGATCCAACCACCCTCTGGTTGAATAATATAAAAATTCTACAGGCTATGAAGACTGATTCACATTTTAAATGTGACTTAAAATTTGATTATCCTTTTAAAATAAATTTAATGGCAAAATTTATCTGATATAATTCTTAGGCTAAGAGCGGAATGTTAAGATATCAAGCAAAATAAAGGAAAGTTCCTAATACATTGTGAATTCTTCCTGGCAGTGTTTTCCTATATTGAGTGTCAATTTCAAGAGTAGGATTAAGAATGGTATCAGCATACCTAATGCTTTAGTTAATGTTCCTCTATGAATGAAAAAAAGTGTTTTAGTTCTGTTTTTTTCTTTCAGATAAACACAATTTCATAGAAGTATTTTTCTTCCTGTTATACCAGAAAAGGGAAAGCATTCGCTACCAAGATTATTTGCATATGCTTCAGATTTACTCTAGAAAGTCTAATTTTCCATGAAATAATTTTAGTATCAGCCAGAGGGCTTTAAGAGTTGAAACCAAATTCCTGGTCAGCGTGGCTACCTAAGGAATTTCACAGACACACTCTGCAGACTTTGTGGTGACCACAGTGACGTTCTAAGTGGTTGGCTAAGTTTTATTTTTAACTCAGGGTGATTTGAACTCTAATGGAAAATAGTGGTAATTTCCTAGTTGGGCTTTTTGTAAAGATTAAAACATTACATACTTTATGTTGATATTTTAAAAGACTTTTGTGGAATCCTGTGAAGCAAGAATTAACCCCTCTTCCATATGAGCCATTAGGCTTAAACCTATGAAAGAATGCACACATCAGAGGGGCAGGTCGAGGACTGGGATCCCAGCATCAAGACTCCCTTGTGGGCTCCAGTTGAGAAGCCTGGATGCCTAAGGCTTTCCTCACCAGGTTATGTTTCAGATACAGTGTTTGGATATGGGTTTGATTAGCCACCCCGTAGAGGTATATGGGTACCTCTTCTTTCAGCATACAATCATCTTAAGAGTGTGGCCCTTAAAGAGCCATTTTAAAATATGCTAGATTTAACTTAGTTCCAATATAACTTTTTAAAAAAACATGTTTTTATTGATTTTTAGAGATTGCAATAACTCCCCATTCTTCCCTTCTCCTCCCTCTGGTGACCACTATTTTACTTTCTGTTCCTATGAATTTGACTACTCTAGGTACATTATATAAATGGAATCATAATATTTATCCTTTTGTGCCTGGTTTACTTTACTTAGCATTATGTCTTCAATGTTCATCCATGCTATAGAGTGTTTCAGAATTTCCTTTTCAAAGCTGAATAATAATCCATTGCATATATATAATATATTTTATTTATCCATTGATCTGTTTGTGGACACTTGGGTTGTTTCCACATTTTGGCCATTACAAATGATGTTTCTGTGAATTGAATTTTCTCTGCTTTCTATTCTTTTCGCTATGAACCCAGAAGTGTAATTGCCAGGTCATCTGGTAATTCTAATTTTTTTGAGGAACTGCCATGCTTTTACCCATAGTAGCTGCATCATTTTGCCTTCCTATCTAAAATACACAAGATATCCCAATTTCTCCACATCCTTTCCAACATTTGTTATTTTGTGTGTTTTTTTAAATAAAATTTTTATAATAGCCATCCTAATGGGTATGAAGTTGTGTATCATTACGGTTTTCATTTATATTTTCCTAATGATTAGTGATATTGAGCATCTTTTTATGTGCTTATTGGCCATTTGTACACCTTCTTTGGATAAATACTTATTCAAATCTTTTTCCCATCATTCAAACGAGTTATTTGTTTTTTAGTTACGGAGTTTTAGGAGTTCTTGTATATATATCCTAGATATTAACCCTTTTTCAGATATATAATTTGAAAAAATTTTCTCCCATGGCTTGTTTTTCATTCTGTTGATATCTTTTTTAATGTATTATTTTAATTTTTAAAATAATTCTTTATTGTTGGAAGTATTACATATGCCCCATTTTTTCCCCCACTGACTCCCACCAGATAATGTCTTTTGATGTGCAAACATTTTTAATTTTGATGAAGCCCATTTTATCTATTTTTTCTTGTGTAGCAAGTGCCTTTGGTTTCGTATGCAAGAAATCACTGCCAAATCCAATGTCACGAATCTTTCCCATGTATTTTCTTCTAAATGTTTTATAGTTTTAGCTCCGTAAATAGGCCTTTGACCCATTTTGAGTTAATTTTTATATACAGTGGAAAGTAAGGGCACAACTTTTTTAATTTTTTAATTTTTTTGCATGTGGATATTCAGTTTTCCCATTTTCTTGATGTTTTTAAGACTATATACAGACAGTTTTTATTACTATGGGTAATGGCTGGGAGTAAGATAAAGAATGACCTGGGTCATGGTTGAAGCAAAATTGTATTTCTTTATTATCCAGGTCATTCTGGATAATAAAGATTAACTAGTTTAACCAAAGTAAGTGCAACAGAACCAGGTAAGCAATCACCTCCCCAGAGTTTGCATCATTAGGCAGCTATTGCATTTGTGCACATGGTTAGTTCCTTGATGTGGAGAATGGAGAGGAAAGAAGCTAAGCCAACCCTGAAGCTGATCTGGATAAAGAAGAGTAGATTCTGAAAGCTCTACCTTTAGGTTTTGCCCTTCCTCTGATGGTGTTCCAGCAGCACAATTAGGCTACTCTTTTTAGCATTTTTACTTCAGTAATGAGTGCTGTGCAAATGCTGTCCAATTTTGTTTTTATATCATCAGTGTTTGGTACTGAGGGGTAATCATGTTTTGGCAGAGACAGTAAGAAGAATTTCATAGTATCTTGACTTTTCAGAGGTTCCAAACACTATAACTCAAGTACTGTGAACTTATATTGGGAGGAGGCCTATCTATTTTTGTGGCAGTTATAAAGATAATGGAATGAAAAAAGAAAAAAAAAAGTAGAGTATGGAAATTGTCAGCAGTTGAGAGACCGTGATTCAATGGGTAAGAATGTGCTGCTCTATCATTTATAAGATGTTTGCTTTGGGCAAGTTGGTTTAACTTTTCCAATCTTTTTTTTTTTTCATCTGTACAGTGAGAATAATAATACCTAATGCTATGGGGCTTTGTGAGGTTAAGTGAGATGAAATGTGTATGCCAAGTGCTTTGACAAGGCTAGGCCAGCTGTAAATGCTCAATTAAGGATCCGTGTCTTCCCTGTGAAGAGATTGGAAGACATATTCTAGGAGAAATACAACAAGCCATGTCTATTAGGTTGTTTTTATTTTGTTTCTGCCTTTCTTGTTGTTCTTTTTAACTACTTCAAATTGTTCCAGCTGAAGCTTGCTAGCATTTGTTTCTTTTGTTTTCTCTTTTCAATTTTTTCCCCATGAAGATTATCTTTGTAATAAAATAAATTGATTTTTTCTTGTACTTATCTACTCAGTTCTTATATTTAAGGACTCCCCCTTAAACCCTCCCTCCCCCATTTTTAAATATCCTTTTATTGATTTCAGAGAGGAAGGGAGAGTGAGTGATAGAAACATACATAATGAGAGAGAATCATTGATCGGCTGCCTCCTGCAGCCCCCTACTGGGGATTGAGCCCAAGGCCGGGCATATGCCCTTGACCGGAATCAAACCCCAGACCCTTCAGTCCGCAGGCTGATGCTCTATGCACCTAGCCAAACCAGTTAAGGGCTTTCTCTCCCTTTTGAAGTGCATAATCATGTGTTCCTTTTGCTGTACTCTTTTCTGCTTATTAACTATTTCATAGTTTTGTTGAGATATCTCTGAGTAATCCTCTTACCCCTTGTCATTGATCCTTCCCAGTGAGGAGAGGGGATGTCCTGGCAGCGTGGAGTGGTATTCGTCCCCTTGTGACAGATCCTAAGTCTGCAAACACTCAGTCCATCTCCCGGAATCATGTTGTGGATATCAGCGAGAGCGGCCTCATCACGATAGCAGGTACGGGCATTACCTTGTTACTTGGGAAAGCTTTAGAGGGGACCTTGTGTTCAGTGGTCACACTGGCACTTCTTTGAACTCTAATCAACAAGCTTTTTTATGATTCTGAGTAAAGTCTAACATCACTTTGCCATATATATTTTTTTTTTTACAAACAACAGGTGGGTTTGTTACTCATACGTTGATAAATGATTAAGTATAAAACAATAAGGGGTAGTATCCTAATGAATTATTTACCAACTTGTTTGTAGGGGGAAAGTGGACAACCTATCGCTCTATGGCAGAAGATACCATAAATGCTGCTATCAAGGCTCATAATTTGAAAGCAGGACCAAGTAGAACAGTTGGGCTTTTTCTTCAAGGGGGCAAGGATTGGAGCCCCACACTGTACATCAGGCTTGTCCAGGATTATGGACTTGAAAGTGAGGTGGGTGTGCATTGCCATATTATCTTATCTTTACCTGCCTAATCTCACCATTGCCAGTAGCAGAAGCAGCAACCGTGTGGCCTCCCTTAATTAGAATTTCCTCTTGGGGGGTTCATTTCCGTCTGTGTACTGTGGACGAGAACTAATGGAGAAAAGAAAAAAAAAGAATGGCTTATTTGCTTCAGTGGCCTAAAAAAAAAAAAATGCACATTTTTAGTTTCTCTTTTAAAATCTAGGGTTTGTTTGCTTTGTTCTTAGCAGACAGGACATCCTAAATTCTCTCTGTCGTGAACATCGGGGGAGCTGTTCTTTAGAAGTGATATTGGGAGCAGAATGAAGCTGAAGCTCCATCAGTCACTGATACAGTGATACATGTGTAGTCGAGTTCATGCTGGCCTAAGCACTTGGGGCCCAAGTGGTTTCCTCCCACAAAATCAAAATCTAATACTCTCCCAGAACTATTAGTTACAGGCTGTAGAAAGCTGACAAGATAAGCTTGTAGGTTTGTTTTGTTTTTTGGGGTTGTTTTGTTTTTTTGCTTTGCACCTAAAAGTATTGATATTCAAAGCCCTAATGCAGTTTTGTGTCCCTAGGTGGCACAGCATCTTGCCTCCACCTATGGGGACAAGGCCTTTGAGGTGGCCAAAATGGCAAGTGTGACTGGAAAAAGGTGGCCCATTGTTGGAGTGCGTCTGGTGTCAGAATTTCCATACATCGAAGCAGAGGTATGTGATGGCCAAATGGGAACCTCTGGTCTGCACGGGGTGCCATTCATCTGTTTGTTTTTCATCTTTTAAAATAATTAAAATGTGGGCTAAGTTTTAATGCACATATGTGAGCTAAAACCTGAAGTAAAATGTCTGCTCAGCCTAGATATTTTTCATTTATACATTTTTATCTTAACTCTAAATTGTTATTGATCATGGTAACCATGATAGTAGAAAATAAAGGATTTCTTTCTGCTCCAAGAGCTCTCCCAAGTCTTGTTAATTCACAGTTGTTTGCCTTTTTGTGAATTTGCAACTCTTGTACCACTCATGTACTACCTGATGACATATCTTGATTTGACAATCAACTTCTCAAAGATTTATGCTTTGTTTCTCATTAAGGTTTCACATTTTATGAAACAGAGACCATGCTTTATATTTACTTATAAGTCACTGCCCCTTAAAACCTGGGTATCCAGTAAGCATGTGCTTAGTGATGGAAGGCAGGGCTTCTGTCTTTTGGTTACTCAGACTGAAATCTTGGGACAGCTTAAAGAGATGAGACCATAACTTTTTGATACTTGTTCTTTGCCTACTCAGCTATGTAAATTAACACCCATATTAAGTATAAGCAAAGAGGTACGCGATTACTGTGGACGGTAAATGAGAAGTGAGGCAGTTTGCAAGTTTGTGGCAGGTTCTATTCTGAAAGAAGGCATTAACTCTTAACTAATTTGTCCCAGTTTCCAAAACTCCTTTGGCAGGCTGATGGGCAACTTGTATGATGTCACTGTTTGTCCCATGCCTGCCACAGAACTGGGGTTTATAAAGAAAAACTGTCACTTTTCCTAAGAACAGTTGTTTTCAGTAAAATTTTATTTTCTCTTTTAAAAAAAGCCTAAACTACTAATTTTACTTTAATTCAAAATCAGGTGAAATATGGGATTAAGGAGTATGCCTGCACTGCAGTGGATATGATTTCACGTCGCACTCGCCTGGCTTTTCTAAATGTCCAGGCAGCAGAGGAAGCCCTACCCAGGATTGTTGAGCTGATGGGCAGAGAACTGAATTGGAACGATGCTAAAAAACAGGTATTATATAGAAGTCTTTAAAATTATAGTAACCATTATAAAAATGTAATGTTGTGATCTGTTAGTAGAGACTAGCATAGTTTTTGTGGTGACTTTAGATTTCTTGCCAGTTCCTATGAGTGTGTGTGTGTGTGTGTGTGTGTGTGTGTTTTATATTGCCAAGTCTTAGGAAACCGGAAAGATGTTCTTGTACCAAAATGTGTTGGTTGTTTCTGGAAAAACCCTTGTAGAAAAATGCTATCAAATTCATGGTCATAATTCCTGAAAAAAACATAACATAATGATTGTGGGTAGACCTTTTTCTGGTTTTCACTGAAAACACTCTTGGAATGTAATCTGCAGTGAAATTCATACTCCTGCGAATTTGCCTTTGTTAGGAAACCTATTACCATCAGTTTTCCTGCTTGACCATCAAATGCAATATTGATTTGTGTCATTTGAAATTTTATATTTACACCCAAATTAGAAAAAGAAAGCCAGTAATACTCAGATGCCCACATATATAGCCCTGGGCTTGTTGTGATAAACAGATCTTCATTTTTTTTTTAACCAAACTATTATAATATGCAAAATCACTTTCATGTATTTATTCAAAAAATACTTTCTGTACTCACTGGTTTACTTCTTTCCCTCCTAGTCTTTCTAGAACCCATTTCATTTAGGCAATTTTGCTGCCACTTTGTTGTAGTAACTCCAGTCACACTCACCAATAACCTCTATCTTGCTCAATATACTTGTCAATGTTCCATCCTCCTTTTACTCAACTAAATAGTGGCATCGACACACTTGATTCCTCCTTGAGCTACTGTTTGGAACACCACCTATCTTAGTCTACTCAGGCTGTGATACTAGAATACTACAGACTGGGTGGCTTCAACAACAGGCATTTATTTCTCTCAAGTCTGGAGGCTAGAACTCTGAGATCAGGGTGCTAGCCTGGTTGGGTTCTGGCTAGCACCCTGGCTTTCAAACAGCTGCCTTCTTGCTGTGTCCTCACATGGAGGAGAGAGAGAGGGAGAGGGAACCCTTCTCTCAAGATGCATTTAAACCTAATCACCTCCCCAAAAGCTCCATCTCTGAATACTATCACACTGAGTGTTAGGGCTTCAGCAAGCAAATTTGGTTGATTAGGCCTAAAGCTTGACATCATAACCTGATCTAAATCCATTAGCAAATCTCATCATATTTATCTTAAAATCATGGCTTGAACTCACCTATCTATCTATCTATCTATCTATCTATCTATCTATCTATCATCTATCTATTTATTTTGATCTTTATTGTTTAAAGTATTATGTTATGTCCCCCTTTTTTCTCCATTGACCACATCTAGCCTATCCCTGTCAACCCTTTCTTAACACATTTAACTGCTCACCCTGATTCAGCATCTCTTACGTGGATTGTTATAATAATTTCTCTCCCCTTAACCAAGGTCCCTGCTTTAACAACTTCAATGATTCTATTAAAACATAAGCCAGATCATTGGCTATGTCAGTCTGAAGTTGAGAGGGAACAGTTGAGTTGGTATTTTAGTCATCAGACTGAACGAGATCCAGGGAGTTCATGTGGTTAAATAATGGCAAGTAGTCCAAAGACAGCCCAAGGCACTCCACAATTTAGACGTTGGAGAGAAAAGGAAGAATCTGGGAGAAAAAAAGTAAGTTATAGCTAGTGAGTTTGGAGAAGGTGTGAGAAGCCTCAAGAGAGATCTGTGACCAGAAGGGAAGGAAGTATTTCAAGAAGAGGGAAGGAATCTGCTGCATCAAGTGCCGTTGATAGGTTTAGTAAGATGAGGACTGACAGTTAACAATTCATTTACTAAAACATCTTTCTTTTACTCACACTAAAGCCAAAGTCATGACAGTGGTTTGCAAGGCCTTTGTGATCTGGCCACCACCTTTCTGATCCCTGGTCTGTCTTTCCATTATTCACTCCCCATCAACCCACAGGTCAAGTTGCTTTCCTTCATTCACATCCTGCTGATGCCTCTGCTTGGAATGCTCTTCCCTGGATATCCTCACAGCCTCCTCCCTCACTTCCTCCTGGTCTCTACTCCAGAGAACTTCCTTAACTGGGCAGAATAAAAGAGCTCCTTCTCCCATTTGAATGATGTTTTCTACTCCATTTCCTACTTTATTTTTCTCTTTAGCATCTGTTCCCATTTGACACAGGATGTATTTAGTTGTTTATTTGTTGTCTGCCTTTCCTCCAGGAAATAAGCTCCAAAGGAGAAGACATAATCTGTTTTGTTTCTGTACACTCAGTGCCCAGCATATATAGGGGGCCCTAAATAAATATCTATTGAATCAGTGAATAAACATTATTGAGCATCCATGTCATCTGTGTAAGGAAGGATTGGGTATAGATCCTGCCCTTAAATTTTTCTCATTCTGGTGTAGATTCCCAAAGATGGTTACCTATCAGAGTCACCTGAGAATGTAGGGGAAAGGGCAGAGTTCAAGGGTTGTCTTTAGACCATCAGAGTCAGAGTCTTCTGGGGTGAAACCAGGGCCCTCCATTTAAAACTTCTCTTGTAATTTGAATGCATTGTATGTAGTATGCTGCTGGTGGAATTCACCAGTTGAAAGAGCTCCTTAAATCTGACCACAACTCTATCAGGCATAAACCTTTACCCCCATTTTATAGTTGAGGAAATAGTCTTAGAGGGAGTAAGTCCCAGTCAGAGTTTATACAACAGTAGTGAGTTGTGCAACTGGGATTGAAAGCAGTATTCTGATCCTAGAACATAAGCTTTTCCCACCTGCCCTCTTGCCTCTGCTTTGGTGGGACTGGTTTATAGCTCTTCCTGTTTGGAGTTTTGATTTGATCAACTAAAGCTATATATGGAGGCTACACAGAATGAAACTCACTCCTGTGCTACTGCCAATCATTTTTAGCATATAGAAGGACTGAGGAGAATGTGTTCCTGTAAAAATTATGGTTGGAATGATTTGAATATGCAGGAAGATATTTTGTGCCAGGATTTCAGGCTGTAGGAGGTAGAAAGGAGGAAGAAAATTCTGTAAACTGGTGTGTTCGGCCCTCCCGAGGAAACTAGATTTAACTTCAGTTCAAATTTTATGAGCAGATTTATGTACTCAGGAATATTCTCCCATCCCCCTCAACAAAGGAACAGAAATAAAAGACCTAAAGTTATTACTCAGTATCCGAGACATTGGAGTGTTAATGAGGTCTGTGGACAGTCTGGAGAGAACAAAGGAGAAGGGGAAAAAAAGAATTAAAGGTTAGAAAGCTGGACTTCTGAGAAAAGGTTAAAAGCATTGGGATTATTTAACCTGCAAAAGTGAAAGAGGAACAAGGTGATAAATAACCCTCTGTAGATGAATTGTGCTTGTTTTTACCAGTCAATACTTAATGAGTGACTTGTATGCTGAGCATTATACCAAATATTTTAGGGGAATAATAAATAGCTCATAGTTTTAAGGACCTTGAAACCCAATTGAGTAGCTATAGCACATGTATACCTCAGAAATGTGTGTATGTTTTCCAAAATGTAGAGAAATATTTAGAGAACTGTCATTTAAGATCAAATTCAACCAACTTGGAAGAACCAATTAGGGAGAAAGGTAGTATTTAAGGGCAGTGGGGTTCGAGACTGGAGTTGCTGGGCATATTTAAGAAATAGAACTCTGTCAAATTATGTCCCACAGGGTACAAATAATATAAGTCAAAAGATGACTATATGGTCAAAAGAGTGGAAAATTATGAGTTAAACAAATGAAATCATTTTCTTCAATGTAGGTGATTTGGTGCCTTTAAAATGCTTATGTGCACTGTCAGTCTCCAAAAAGGAACTTATTCAGAGACAGACCCGACTCTCACATTTTGGAAGGGCTGGGGGAAAGGAGACGAGGAAGTATTTTGGGAAATGCCCCCATAGGATTTGGTAAGGAGGTTTTATAACTTTCAGACAAAGCATGCATTTCATTGAGAGACTTTAAAGAGAAGACCACTTAAGTAGATTGAGGGAGTCTCACAAAAAGAAATTCTTTCAAAATTGTTTCAAAATTGATTTCAATGGGGAAGAAGCCAGTGAAGAAATGAAGTGACTGAAAAAAGCAAGCTGCTAAGCAGCAAATTTAAAACAGATGGAAGACAAGTGCTCAACAATAAAAGGGTATCTAAGAATGATATGGATGTATATAAATAGTGTCAGGGATTGGCTGACTGCTGGGAAAAAAATTGCTAAGGACAAAACACACACACACACACACACACACACACACACACACACACACACACACAAGAAACAACTTTTACAAATGGAAAGGAATGCCAGTGAGGCCTAACCTGGATGACTGTTTGATGAGACTGGCACCATAGTCTTCAATGGAGAAAAGGGAGAACTTTTCAACTTATAGTTTAATACCAAATTGTTTTTCTTTTTGGTCAAGAAGAATGATTTTCAGTGTGCAAAGAGAAAAATAAATATTGGCAAGAGGAAATAGATATTTAAATAGAAGGTTGCTCTAAATGAGTTTGTATGCCAACCCAGAAAGATTATACCTCAGGCTACTCAGAGAATTTGCAGATGGAATTTATTTAACCACTGTTGAGATTTAAAATATTGTAGCAAACAGAACCAGAACCAGAAGACAAAAGATGGGCAAATGGAGCACCAAATTCCAAAAAAGGAGAAGAGAGAAAAACATAGTTTGTAGCTTATAAATTGGTGATCTTAGCATTGTTCTTGGAAAGTTTTCTAGATTATGGCATTTTAAGTTTATTTTATTGATTTAGCAAGACGTGTAGTGATCATTGGAAGCTAGTAAGGAATTATTTAGGAAAAAAATCATTTCAGATATCTCATTTTCTTTTCATAAAGATTAGCAAGATTGTTAGATCAAGGAAATGTTATAGAAATGGTGTATTTAAGTTCCTTAAAGCATTCTTCGAAGCCCCATGTGATATCTTTTTTTTTAAATTGGAGGATTTGTAATCAAATGATCACTGTTTGTCTCAGAAGAGGTCTCTGAGGATTTTGTCCTTGGTTTGACCTAATCTACCTTGCTTCAAGTGCTGAGATTACAGTGTTGATGGCATGCATCTTTGGCACACCAATAATAGGAATTGGAGGGAGAGTGAATGTTTAATGACAAATAGAAGCAAGAGGTGAAATTTCATTAGGTATAATTAGCAATAAATGGTAAACCTTGCAATACGTAGAAACACGATTCCATTCGTTCATGATAGATTTGACAAGGCTTACCAGTAACAAATGCAAAAATGAAATATGGTTTCTGTTATCTGTGAATGCCTAGCAGTTAACAGTAAATCATGGCTGCCCCCAAATGCAATTGTAATCTGAAGCTGCATTAATAGGAATCATATCTCTAGATTGATGAAGCTAGTAGTTACTCCTTCCTAGGTACTTGTTAATCCCAAACAAATTGGAGGAATTACAAAGAGATGGGTTTAATCTCAACATAAAAATTTTAAGCAATTGGAGCCATCCCTCTATGGGCTACTTTCAGTGGTATTGAGTTATCACCCTATTGTGAGAATTTTTTAGATGAAGAGCTCCTGCTTCCATTTTTGGAATATTGTAAAGAAAATGTGAGGTTAGGGAGGTGCATTGGGTGAATTCGAGGGAAAAATCGCTTCCAACTCTGAAATTCCATGGTTCCTTGCTTGAATGGTGTATGCATAACTCACATGGGTGATGAAGGGAGATGTATCAAAGAAGAGCTTGTTCTTGGAGGGAAGCATCAGAGAAGCTATTTCCAGGGAAATGAATCTTGAATGAGTTTTATAGAATGTGACCTGGTAAAATCGGTGCAATGGAAATATGTTTGTTTGTTTGTTTGTTTGTTTGTTTGTTTTTTAAATAACTGGTGGGTTTTCTTGTATGAAGAGAGTAATCTGCCAGTGGAGAATGCCTTTTGTAACTTCACAGACAAGTCCTATATATACCTTATATATCATGTGTGGTGTGCGATATCAGATAGATGATATATAGCATATTTTGATAATATATAGTATATGTATAGTTTATGTATATATATATATATTAGCTGAGAATATTTTAGCATTTCTAATTTTATATATACTATAGTTATTTTGCTTTTTCTATAATATATAGTATGTATTTATTTTACTTACATATTTATATTATATATGTACATATCTATAATTTCCTAAGAGAAAAAAAATATATTTCTCTTAAGAGAAAATAATGTAGGAAGGGAATAATCTCAGAAAAGTAGTTTGTCTTCCCCTCTCCAAGAAAAAGGAGCAGAGGCACTTGTCATCTACATAAGATCCTGGGGAGTCTGGGGAGCTTAAGACTTGCATTAGTAAGGTTTCTCCAGATGGTGTGCTCTATAACAAACAACTTCAAAATCTTATTAGCTTACAATGGCAAGCATTTACTTTTCACTCATGTTACATGAAGGCTGCATGTTAGCTGCCGTGGCTCTTTTCTATATTCTAGATTATCTTCAGGTGTCTCTGATTTATACCCTTGTCATGGCAAGAGAAACCAGAGGCAACGTTGTTCTGATGCTTTTAAGTTTTACTCAGAAGTAGCCTATGTCATACCTATTCATGTTCTGTTGGCCAAAGTTAATCATCTGTCCAAGCTCACATCAATGGGTTGAGAAGTATACTCATGGCAAGAGGAGGGAGGTTGGTGTGTATAGATAATATATATAGGTAAAAGGAAGGAAAGAGATATTTGTGAACAGTATACAGCACAATAGAGTCATTTTGAAAGTTCTTTGATGAGAGACAGACTCGATGAACACTAATAATGACTGCCTGGCCGGTATGGCTCAGTGGTTGAGCATGAACCTATGAACCAAGAGATCATGGTTCAGTTCCCAGTCAGGGCACAGGCCTGTGGTGCAGGCTCGATCCCTAGTAGGAGGCATGCAGGAAGCAGCTGATCAATGATTCTCTCTTATCATTGATGTTTCTATCTCTCCCTTTTCCTTCCTCTCTGAAATCAATTGTGTGTGTGTGTGTGTGTGTGTGTGTGTGATTTTTTTTTTTTTTTTAAAGAATGACAATGTTCTCAGCAATAGTATCAATTGAGTCTGGAACATTTGAGAAAACAGGTAGAACTAGTCAGGATAGCTTGTTTCTTCTCATTACTCAGTAACTTCCACCCAACTATCAGAATCCTAGTGACAGAATTTCAGAATAGCTAATATCATGTTGTTTGTCTGGGTATACTGCATACTACATTCTAAGTAGTTGTTCAAGTCCTATATATCTTCTTCACTTCTAATTGCCTTTTTTTTTTTTTAACCAAAACCACAGATTTTGGTCCTGTAGATTTTGCTAGTGGAAGAGTATTCTGCATTAAAAGCAAACAAAATAATACAACATGCAACAACATGAATGAATCTTGGAATCATTATGCTGTGGAAGCAAATGCAGAAGACTACCTGCTATATGAGCCCTTTTATATGAAATTCTAGAAAAGGCAAAACTTGTGACAAACAACAACAAACAAACAGATCAGTGGTTGCCTGGGGAAGAGATGAACTGCAAATGGGCAGAAGGAAGCTTTTTAGGGTGATAGAAGTGTTCTATGTCCTGATCATGGTAGACTATACATCAAACTATGTACCTAAAATAGGTGGATTTTGTTGAATATAAATTATACTTTAATAAGTCTGGAAGAAATAAAAAATGTGCTGGTCAGATAAGTGAGGATAAGCTAGCTTCTTTTTAGAACATCAAAAGAAAAAAAATCAATACATTTTACTATAAATCTTTGAAATTTGTGTGTGTCTGTGTTTTAGGAAGAACTTGAAACAGCTAAGAAGTTTCTGTATTTCGAAATGGGTTATAAATCTCGATCAGAACAGTTAACACATCACTCTGAAATTACCCTGCTGCCTTCAGACGTTGACAGGTACTTCTAATAAGTTTCTCTCTCTCTCTCTCTCTCTCTCTCTCTCTCTCTCTCTTTCTCCCTACATAAGTATATTATTCCATTATTCAACATTGTATTCCAGGTACAAGAAGAGATTTCATAAGTTTGATACAGACCAAAAGGGCTTTATTACCACTGTTGATGTTCAGCGTGTATTAGAGGTAATTTTTTTTGACTCAATATGTTGGATAGCAAAAGAATGTAAAGATTATATTAGATATTTTTTCCTTAAGTAGGTATTTCTATGGGTAATATTTCTCTTTTAATTTTTGAAAAGTTGATAACATTATTAAAAGGATTTGCATAATTTTTAGTTAATCTTTATTTTGTGGTTTAATATAGAGTATCAATATCCAAATGGATGAAAACACACTACATGAAATTCTGAATGAAGTAGATTTGAACAAAAATGGACAAGTTGAACTCGATGAATTTTTGCAGGTGAGTTGTACTGAAAGGAAACACATATATTTGTTTTTTATCTTTTGGTTGCCAATGGTTGCTCCAGGATAGAGTTTGATGTCCACACAATTGTCACTTCATTCTGAAAAAGCAGAGAGCTTGAAGCCAGCAAAAGTTGATATGTCTGCCTTCAAGGATAAGGCTCTATGTGGTACACATTCTTTTTCCTTTTTATAAGACACATTCTGTTATATTGGGCAATTTAGATAAAATTTAAGTTAATTATGGCCTAAAGAGGGTAAGAAGTATGCTTTTTAAAGAAGTATGCCATGGAATACCACTGCCAGACCATTCTTTACCTGCTTCAAGGAGTTATAACACAACGTTTCTAATGTGGAAAGTCATTTTTTAAGGAAAAGTTTTAAAAATCATTGTCGCATTCATTTGAGAATCATATTCACTTGAGATCCTGAAATGTAATTATTATATTCTTACATTGTAAAGAACATGAAAAACAAAAGAAAGGGAACATGCATTCTGGGGTCAAGACCATATAATTCAAGCATTTCTATTTTTACTTACTCACGGCTCAATTCTTTAATTGTAACCATGAAGGAAATACATTTTGCTACTTTAACTTCCAATTGGATGCTGCACATCATTCCTTAAAAGAGAGAAATTCAACAAACCCATACATTACTGTGGCTGTCCATAGGACTCTGATAATATGAAGTATGTATTGGTTTCCAAGCAGCCAGGCTTTTTTCTGTAGTGCTTCTTGGGCAGGTATTTCAAATGAATGCCAGGTCTTGCTTGCACCATGGCAATGATGAATGCTGAACATGAAATAAATTAATGCTGGGGATTTTGGTCAATGTCAGCCTTTTCTTCACTGTGTCAAGTTAAACAAACAAGATCAAGGCAAAGGAAATGGTAATTGTCTCTCTGGAGATGAGCTGCAGATAAGAGCATTGTTGAATCTAAATGCAGAAAATTTTCACAGATTGTGTCCAGCATTACAAAAAAGGATGTTTAGTTCTTTAGCTTACCGGCTAACTAAGTTCACCTTTTGAATTGAGGTTAAAATCTGTGCTTGGCAATTAGAAATCATTTAATACATTTTTGTCTAGTTTGTTTTTAGAATATTTTATGGTTTGTATCAGCATTTTAGAAAACTTTAAAGAAGTGGTTTATGTTTCATTTCATGTGTTGTAAATAAGCAATGGTACTTAAGGTTGGCAGCAGTTCTCAACCTGTGGGTCGCGACCCCTTTGGGGGTCGAATGACCCTTTCACAGGGGTCGCCTAAGACCATCGGAAAACCACATATATAATTACATATTGTTTTTGTGATTAATCACTATGCTTTAATTATGGTCAATTTGTAACAATGAAATTGGGGGTCACCACAACATGAGGAACTGTATTAAAGGGTCTCGGCACTAGGAAGGTTGAGAACCACTGACCTAGGGTTTTAGAAGCAATAAGAATCTAATTTCATGGATATGCTCTCTGGTTTGAGTGTTGAGTAATTTTTTTGAATGCAATAGAGTTAAACACATACAAAGTAATTTAAACCATCTGTGGGTTTTCTTGTACAGTTTTTAATAATTGAGTATTCCTTTTTTTTTTTCCAATTCTTAATGAAAGAGACTATTCATGCCTCTACTAAGTACAAACACAGAGTCTAATTTTCAACTTAAAAATTGCTGATCATATTTCTCATAAAATATATTCACACCCAAATGTTTTTTTTTTCTCCTTGTAATATGGTTGCAAGATACATATAATGTTTAAAGAAACTTTGAATTTTTAAAGGCTGGTACATCATATAATGTTTATGGATAAATGAAAAGCTCCAGTTCTATCAGATTTGTTAGCTCTGATAAACTTTGAAGGTCTTCATGCACTCAGAGACAAAACAATAGACAATAAATTGTTCTGTATTTAGATGTCAGCATTCTTTATGTTACATCATTTGTCATATGTAAAGTATGTTGTCAGGGTTGTTTTTTTTATACAATTTTTTTCCCCTCGGGATTGAGTCCATGTTTACCTCATTAAACACCCTTGTCAGTATAGATTTGGTTTCTCAATAATCCCCACTGGAAGGATCCCTGCAGGCATCACGTGGTTGCGTGACTTTATTTTTAGGTTTGGGCTCTGATGCCACTTGTGCATGTAGGAGTCAGTCTCTAATAGGCAGTAGCTTGTGAAGCAGCTTTTAATAAGGTCAGGCAATTCTGATCCTGCGCCTTGGCACACGCCTCTGACTCTTCTTCAGAGCCATTTAAAGAAATGTGTCTCTGTAAGCTGAAAGCTATCACCCTACAAAGTATTCCAGCGAATGGCTAACTCAGTGCTCTTTTAAATAAATAAATAAATAAATAAATAAATAAATAAAAGATTGAGGAAGTGATACTAAGAAAAGCAAAGAGTTAAAATCACATAAACTTGAAATGAGAAAAAAAATATCCCCCCGCTCATAATGGCGAAGTGCCTTCAAGATTAAAGGCCTTTGCCCACTGACTGCATGTAATTTCAAGACTAATTCTGATTTTATCCATTGGATAAAAATGAATTAGCTAAAATCTGGGCTGCGGAGTGCTTTTAATTCTTAAGGTAGATCTCTGGGTCCATTTTCAAGTACTCAAATGTAAATTACTTTATCCAGTCTTTAAGAATTTGGATTTAGGGGAATTGGAGTTTTCAAGTACAGTAACATTAAAAAAGAGTAGTTAAATATAGATCATGGTTTGTCTTTGTTCAATCCCTGAGATTCATTTCTAAGATTTTAAAATGGAACTCATGATCCAATATTTGAGTTGCTCAAAAAAAAATATGCGCCCTGAGCACATTAAAGGACAAAAAAGTGACGTATTGTATTTGCATTTAAAGGCAGGCCAATTTTGCTAGATGGGTGTAGTTTTTACAGCAGTGAAAAAATACCTGCCTGTGCCCCCATTTCTAAAATATTCAAAAATTGTCCTCTTTCGATTTGAACTAGAGGAACTGCGATGGCTTTTGATGGAGCACTCAATGACCTCTGCCTACAGCAAAGGTGACCATTCAGACGCCGCCGCGAGGAAGGGAGTGAGTCAGCTGCCTTCTGAATCTGTTGCTTGTTTTCTCTTTAAGCTGATGAGTGCTATTCAGAAAGGAAGGGTGTCTGGGAGCCGGCTGGCGATCCTACTGAAAACGGCGGAAGAGAACCTGGAAGGAAGGGTTCCCATTCCGGTGGACAGAAGTTGTGGAGGATTGTGAGTGTGAGCAGTGACTCCTCGGCCAACGCACATAGGAACAACAAATCGTCATGTAACAACAGTTACGAAATACAACACTCCAAAATAGTGGATATGGATAGCTGCTTTTTTTATTTTAAACACTGGGAAACATTCCAAAACTTTAGGATGTTGATGTATACCCCCTCTTTGTATTTGCCACTCACTCTCGCTTCTAAAAAGTGTATTTTATCCCTTTTCCTCATTTTCGATGCACCCTGCCTTAATGTTTTGTATCCATTTTGTGACCGATTAGACTGGACATGCTCTCTTTTTGTGTATTTGTTCATTTATTCTAATTCATTTCTAGAGGCAGAATGCTTTGGCTGAAATCGAAAAAAAGGAGCTGGAAGAATTTTGTAACATACCCAAAGCTCTGGACGTTAAGCTTGTAGATAGTATTTGTTCTTAAAAGAAATGGAGCTGAGAGTGGCCTCTTAAGAGAAGACCTCTCAGCCACTCCTTCCTCCAGCTTGTCTGCCTTCCCTCTCCAAACCGTCGCACAATTTTCTATGTAGAGCATGACTGGCAAAGCTGGAGAGGGAAGGAAACATTTAGATCTGGTTACAGGAGCAAGTCTGAAAGAGAAACTCCGAAAGCTTCCAGAATCACAGGTATAAGATAAGGATAGCATTGACATTTCTGGGAGTTACAGTGATAGTTTCATCTCAGCAATTCGTTGTGGTTTTTTTTTCCCTCCCTCAGTCACTGCTGGTTTTTCTTTGACTATTATAGTTGCCAGGAAGATTCTTGCTGTTTTAACTTGAAAACCGGCATTTCAGTGGTAAGTTAGATGTAATGGGATGAGACTGAATTTCTCAAATCTTTACAGGAGTAATTAATACATTTAAGGGTTAAAAACCTGTGTTTATTAAAGATCCACATATGATAGCACAATTTTTAATCCCCAAATCCTAAACGTTAGAGCATGTGATATTGTCAGAGCTGACCTGTTTTGCTTGGTTTACTGCATCCTTTTGGGGGAGTATTTGTAAACAGACTGCAATGAGGATAGAAATAACCCTTCAGTAACTTTATAATTATCTGTAAAAAGGCACAGCACTCAAGGTCCTTTAGGTTACCTAAAGCCTCTCAGTCTGTACTCAGTGGAAAAGTTCTTAATCAACCAAAAAGAAACAGAAAAATATAAAACCACACAAACATACACTCACACACATTCCCCCAGCACACATACACACACAGAGAGACACAAAACAAACAAAAATCCAATCTGTATTTCATTTCACAAATAATGAATTGAATTTAAAGGTCTATTTTGGTATGCTTTTGCAATATTTTGTTGGCATTTTAGCCAGTCACCTGAATATTTATTTTTTGTGCTTCTTCTTGTGAAGTTAACTACCTATTTTTGTGTCTCCAGATCAGGTTGTGTATGTGAAATCTAACCCTTTATTTAATGTCAGGTTTTCACTGCACACTCTTAAAGTCTTAGTTTTTTAAACTGGTACATGAAACATTTTTGTGCTGTTATTTCTGTTTATGTCAATATTGTAGCCTATCTTTATGCCTCATTCGAGTGGGGCATGAGCCTGGATGTTATAGTATAAACACTGGAAATTCACTCACGTAAGCACCCATCCTCACTTCTGAAACAGTTAAGGTAGCATCTTCACTCCTTTTGCTTTTAAAGGATGTTTTAGACTTGCCACTTCGAAAGGAAAACCTAAAACAGAGCAAGGGGTGCTCCGAAGTACCACTGTGAAGTTTTTCTTTCAAGGTGTGATTTTTTTTATACTGGCTATTTTATTTTTTTAAATAATGGAAGCTTGTGGCTTTGTAATTTAGTATTTTTCTATCAGGACGATACATTTCACTGTTTGGAATCCAGTGACACTTAACAGACAGAAGAGCTGTCCTTTCAACCATTACAGATGATGTGCCACAATACTGTACACTTGTGTTCTCTGTCTTTCTCTTTTTCTAGTTAGAGATGATAAGGATGACTTGTATCCTCCCTGAATCCATTACAGTAGGGACCCAGCTTAAGACCTGACTAGCCTGGGCAAAGCTGTGTTTGTAACACAGGCCTTGTTTGTGCACACTTTGCTATGAGTGAAGTTCCTTTAAGGACAAAGAAAAGCACACTTTTCTTCTTTTGAGCATATTTGCTTTTGCTTAAAATCTGCTAATTCTAAAACATACGCTCCTTCATCGATCCCAGAGACTCATCTTGGAAACGAGCTGGCTCCAAGTCTTTACTGTGAATAAAGCACCCCCACATTTGGGTGTAAGCTCTTAATTAAACCTGCACAGCTTCTTCACCTGATTTCAGAAACGAAGCAAGAAATAGGGGGATAAGCCCCTGCAAAACCTACTCCGAGTGCAAAAGAATGTTTTGCCCTTTTCCTATAAATGTGATGTAGATGATGCTGTGGGGGCGGGGGTGGGGTGTGCAGGGATTGTCTTTTATCAATCAAGTGATTTCTTTCAAGAGCCTTTAAGGGGGTTCAGGTGAAGGAAACCCCATCTGTGGTGGAGACCTGGATGTTCCTTTAAACAGCTCGACCACAGTCATACGGGAGTGATCGTGCTGGATTATTTGTTAAGCCAGGGTTGCCTGCCTCATATCCATCATGCTGTTTACAAAATTCGTGCTTTTAATCAATTTATACTGAGTGTAACTTTAGGGTTTCTACAATTAAATGCATGCTCCCTATTCTGCTTTATTTTCTAGCCTGTTTTGCCTTTTTCAAATTATGTAGATTTCTCTTTTGTACAATGAAAATTTCACTCTGACTTTTACTAAACATACTGTCAGAATGATCATTGATCTTATTCCCTTTTTTATGTATTTGTATTTTGGCCTATGAATGTAATAATACTGATGTCGGTGATGCTATAACTTGCACTGTTTTGCATTATGTCAGCCCTTTTTAGGGGAGTAAAAAAGCCCTACTGTGTTTTTAAAGAAGATCAAGTATAAGCACAGTAGTGAAGTAGAGAAACACACTGCATGTTTTCATGGCTCTTTTATGTATTGTGGTGGGTTATTGTTCTAGATTGGACTGTTAAATACTATGTTTGAGGCTGGGTTGTCATTTTTATAACTGTCTTGGTGTTTTATCGGCATTATTTATTACTTTTGATATACGGAATGAGCTGCATGCATTTATAGAGCAATAAGAGGATGTATTTAATGTGCCTTGTTTTTAACGGAATAAGTACTGAAAGCATGAATCAATAAAACTGATTAAAATGGTCCATTTGCTGGCATTTTGATGTTACTTGCAGTCAGAGAAATAACTTTGATTACTGTTGAAGTTTTTTAAAAAAAGTTTGAAAATATGTTTACAAACTATGTTTTTAATGGCACTTACACATTAATTCTTTTAGCTTGAAATTTCATAATTTGATCTCAAAAGTAAATCTCTGCATAGACAGATGTAATTTTTTGAGACTGCCAGGATTATTTGTATTAATTTGGTGCTGCAGCCTTTAGGGCATGACTTCTGGATTTGTGCAATCCTATTCTAAAATTACATTCATCCTATTACAACTAACTCAGCTGAATTCTTTTTTTTCCTTCCTTTTTTTTTTTTTTTTTTGTCTCCAAGAGCCTTTCAGCCTGAGGGTTCCCAGGCACACTGATGAATTTTATCATAACTAAAATCAATAGAAATGAATGGGAAAGATTACATAATCCATTTTGATCATCTCACATGTCAAGTTAGTACAGGGTTGCCAAGTGTTGATAAATGCTCTGACAGAAAAAATGCTATATATTTTCATTGTCAGTAAATCAGTAAAGCTGTTATCAGTTTTAACACAAGTTTTACAATGCCCATGTTATTTTATAGGTTTTAATTTACACACGTGTGTGGAGCATACCATACACTCCATTTGTGGTTTAGATGCACTGCCTCCTGGTTTTTGGTGCTCAAAGCATGTGTGAGCTTCTGAAGTTTCTTTGGCATTGCCTAGAATACCCAAAGCCATGCCCCCCTTCCCCCCCCCCCCCCCCGCCTCCCCCCACCCCCCCCCCCAGACTGGTAACAATGAACTGTTTGTTCAGTGCCTGGAAAAAAATATATAGCAGCTCGAAACATTGTTCATTGATCTAGCTTATCAAATTTTATAGCACTTTAAAATTTGTCAACTTAAAATTTGTCAAAGTGGATTGCTTCAGTTTTTGGAATGTATATACAATTTCTGATAATCAAAGGAAAATGGATACTAACATCGATATTTGCAAATCTTTGTCAACACCACATTATCATTAGTGTTAGATTCCACCTGATGACATGTGACTTATGAAGGAGGCACAACAGAAGTTTTAAATTGATACGGCATCCTTCTAATGAGAGGATTTCTGTATAGGAGATGGAGTTGATGAGCCTTTTGTGCCTGCACTTTGTATTTTAGGCCTTTATTAGCTACCAAACTTGTGAAATACATGCACATAACATGATATATGTGAGCCATGCTGACACCAGGATAGTCCTGTAGATCCTGCACAAAGAAGGTTGTGGGCCCTTTGCCAAAAGCAGTAATTATCTTTGCATTTTGTTAAATATTTGACCCAGAATAATAAAATTTACATGATCTAAGCAAAACTGCTTTAGCAACATGACCAAGGCCATCTTTGTTCGTCACATTTGGCATTAAATTGCATTGCTTAGCACACCCTACCACCAGTCCCCTGTTAGTTACCTGCATTCACATTGGAGTTGCTAGAAACTGAAAGCTGAGGTATGTATCTTATAGTCGTAGATAGCATATCATGTTTCAGTGGAAGAGACGGGAGAATCGAGTCTCAGAGTACCCACCTGGGATGCTCGGGCATGGCACATGGTACAACTGGTTCCACCAGCTTCTGAGCCATTCAAGCCCACTCTTTTGTGTCTTAAGCAGAGTATCTGCTCTCATTTTCCAGGTATAGTGACTCCCATAGAGTTCAAGTTCACTTCTTCAGTGGCGGCTGCTAGCTTTCCTTCAGTGTGGTGTCTCAAGGAGTTAGGAGGTGTCAACATTTTTTTTTTTCTTTTCTTTTTGGTCCTGATACTTATATAAAAAAAAATAGTTTGGGTTAGGGAGAATCTTGAATTGGAGGCTGTGTTTTCATAGTCACAGGATTTTTTTAAAATTCTATTTGTTTTAAACTTATACTGTAAAACTGGTTCTAACTTTTTTGTGATTTAAAAAAATCCAATGTAGGTATATCTGATTTTGCTTTAAAAGCTACCTTCCCGTGTCTGCCTAAGCAATCTAAATGTAATGAGATCGGATCAACATATCACTTTTCTTGAACCTGACCTTCATGCCCTCTGCTAAGTGAGCAGTTCCCTCTCACAACCTCCTTCCTTCAAGGTCTTAGAGTAAATAGTTGTTTCTTCTCCTTTCTAATTTGTTGCTTGTTAGATTTTCTCTACTTAAAATCAATTGTTTTGTTTTTCATATCCCTCATTAATTGGTTTGCAATTCATTCTTATGCATACAGAGTCTTTCCTATCTAAGTTAAGAAGCTGTAAATCTTAGATCCATTGAAATGACAGTGAGAAATATTTCATTTTATCCCATGAATCACTTGCCATCCTTATTGTAGAAAAAATGGCAAAATTATGGTGTACCATGTTTTCATAAATTACCCTGTCCCACCCCTCACTCCAGTTCATTGCATTATTTGTTTGGAAAGACTGCAAGAGTCAGAATCCAGACACTTGTGGTAAACAATTCTGATTTTACAGCAGGCTAATCAAAATTTCATAACATCACAAATGAATTCCTCTGGAACCATGAGGAATTTAATTCATGTACAAATAGATCATCTATTTTATAACTCAAAAATAGCTTGCTATTAAAGTATATTCTGTGATTTGCTAGTATAACAAAAGGGGAAGAGTGTCGAGTTCCTTAAATAATATACATAATTTTCAATGGGTTTCATATGACAAATTAGTCATTTATATCTCAAAGGTGTATGCTTTGCACTATGTATTTAAACAGTATTAAAAAATCATGGCTTCTTCCAAAAAGGACAAATCATAGGTTCACATTTCACATCTGACCTAGAATGAATATCTAATATGGAGATTCCCTCTCCCTTAGGAATATCCTCATAAGTAAAAATTGAAAATATGCCTATGGATGGATAAATATTTTTAAAAGCAATCAATTAGGTCAGTTACTATAATGTTATAATACTGCTAAGTGGGCAAATTTGTCTGTTGCCCTTAATCTCTATTTTATTATCAGATCTTTTAAGAAACCCGGTTCGTTATTTATACAGTTGGAAAAAAGTCAAGTTTATCCCAATAAATATATTCGTCATAGTGAGCTGCTAAACTGTTTTCAAAAATGGGCCATTTTTTTTTAAATGGAGCTTATCCAGCTTGATCCATGCTTTAAGCAGCACTGAACCATTAAATAAAAACCTGGGACAAAATGCTTTTGAAAAGGGTTAATTAGCTTTAATATTGATTTATTCCATATAGATGCTAATAGACTAGAACAGTTCTGTTTTGGATCATTAAAAACTGGCTTTAGTTCTAGAACAATTTGTTTCTAATAAATAAAAATTAGACCAATTAGAGTAATTTTAGCAGAACCCACAATATATGAGGAGGAACTTTTTAAGAAAACAAAAACCTGATCACTATCTCACAATTCACTGCGATTCCATCAGAAGCGCCGTCTGCAAAACACAAGGTCATTAAGCTCAAACAGAACTATTTCTACTTCAGCCCTAAAACAGGTGACGTGTAGAGGAAGCTAATGTAGGGATGGAGACCTCCCGAAAGCTGAAGTGGCAAGAAGCTGCTCCTGTGTCCTTTTGCTCTAACAGTAGGATTCACTCCCATCTTCTCCATTACTTAGCTTTCTCCATCCATCGACTTTACCCTTGGAAAATATTACTGCCTCAAAAAAGTTTACCTCGGCCAAGGTGCTTGTCTCTCTGCAGGGGTTACCTCCCTGGCTGTGCTTAGTTTTTGTTCTAATGCTGCCCTCTAATGGATACCAAATTATTTCATTAGACCAGGAACAAAAGTAAATCTTAAGCTTCTTAGAGCTCCTCCTGCCCCAGCCCATCACTCTTTGAAACTGTGACCTGATCCTTTTTCCCTCCCTACACGTGTTGGCCTAGGAGACATGTTAATTGTGTGGGATCGCCTGGCCAAACCCGCATTCCCCACCTGGGCAGTACAGGGGCAAGGAGGCTAGTCTGTGCTCTATCTAACTTTCCTCCTTTCTCAGCCAGCAACTGGAAAGAACTGATGTTCTGGAGGACTTAAAAATGAGGAATAAAAACAGTGTAAGTGCTGTATGAAGATGATATGCTGTATGTTTTATCAGCCACTGGCACCTAGTTCAAAAGACAAGAAAATTAGCAGCAGTGGTTTGGGAATAGGCCTGTGCACGGGGTGGATATGAAAGCCGTACATGAAGAATATCAGCACTTTTCACATGCTGCGTTCTGACACCCATTGCTAGAGCTGAAAACTATCTCTATTGTCCAGTTTGATTGCTTGAATCAAACTGATTTACAGCAAATCCATCTGAGCTTTGATAAATCTATTACAGTTTCATTTCACTGATTTCATTAACGTGAATAAAACCAGCCATGCTTTCTGCATAACTGCCTTTTAATGGCTTGGCCCTGTCACCTGCCTGAATATTAATCCCCCTGACTTATTGCTCCACAGAGGGAATGAGTAATGGGTATTTGAATGTGATCAGCACAGTACAATGCAATTAAGGAAGCAGTACTGTTCTGTGCCTTTAATCCTGAACTAATTTGAATTGCAGTTTGATAGCACAGTGAATCCTGCATAATTATGTAGGGTGCATATTAAACTCTGTGACAAACCGGAGAAGCTTTTAACCATCACAGCTATGGTAGACGGGGGAAGGCCGGAGGCAGAGGGCCCACCATTGGACTGAGAGCTCAATTAATAGAACCTTCAGCTTGGCAAGCTTGGAGTGCAACAGATCTTGGAACAAAAATATAAAGTTGTCTTGTTTCAAATAGATTTCATTTGATAGGCATTTGGGCTTTCAGGGCTTCCTTTGAGTTTGCAAGGTAGCCAGGAGTAAACTGTTTCTTAGGAGAACTTTGTATTCTCTTAGTGCTTTCAGCAGTTAGAAAAGTAGCAGTTACAATTGGTAGCTCTGGCCATCCAAGTACTTGGCTCTCTCCAGTTCAGCAAAGGTGCAGTTAGTCAAACCAGGACCCAAACACAGACTTGGTCAGCAAAAAAGGGCAA